ATACATTGTCCTGGGTTTAGCAGTAGCAGTCATTTTTCTCCTTAGTAGCTGGTGCAGCACTGTGTTTTGACTTCCGGCCTGGGAACAGAGCTGATAACACTGATGTTTTAGTCTGACCAAGGACTTTGTGAGCCTCATGCTCTGCCAGGGAGGAGGGGAAGCTGGGAGGAAGCAGAGACAGGACACCTGACCCAAACTGACCAAAGAAGTATTCCATACCACAGCACGTCATGCCCAGGATGTAACTGAGAGTTGCCCGGAAGGGCTAGGACTGCGCGGTTGGAAGAGGTATCGGTTGCTGCTTGGTCAGGCTGGGGGGGGGGTGAGTTATCGGTTGGCTGGTGGTGAGGTGTTGTAGTCTCTTCCATTGTTATTTCCTTTTTTCATTATTATTTTTGGTCGCAGCAGTAATGATTTGTGTTATACCTTAGTTACTAAACTGTTCTCATCTCATCCCATGGGAGTTGCATTCTTTTCAATTCTCCTCTCTGTCCCTCTGGGAGTAGGGGCAAGAAGGGGGGGAGTGAGTGAACGAGCTGCCTGACTGGTTTTAAACCACGACAGTTCTTTTAGGTGCCCAACGTGGGGCACAAAGGGTTGAGATAACAGATCTGACCGGATTAATAGTCACTCCTCACAATGCTGATTTATTGACTCTCAGAGTTGTGTTTTCTTGATTTCACGGTTTCAGAATGTTGTAACTTACTTAGAGCCAGTGTTTGCTGTGTTAGTGTTTATCATGTGTGGGGCTTGGGCTAAGGTTCTTGTCTCGCTGTACTTCATGGCAATGACTTGTAATACGGGCGGGCTCCAGCAAGCAGGGCGGGATGGACGTGGCTGTGGACTTGTACCTGGCCGTCCCGCTGCTCTTCACCATCCTGGCCCTCGTCCTCGCCTCTGTCTTTGGGAGGCCGTGGGGAGCTTAGGGGGAGCGGCCCCTGGAGCCGGCAGCTGCTGAAGCGGCCCAGGAGAGCGGCCCCTGGGACCAAGCGGCGGCAGGAGCGGTGCCGGAGGCCAGCAAGGAGCGGCTGCCTGTGGAGGAGGTCAGGGCAGTCGAGGAGTGGAAGGAGGAGGCTGCTGAGCAGAGGGAGAAGGGGGCGGAGTAGCCGAGCCCCGTGGAGGAGCTGAGACCTGCGGCTGATCCCAGCCCCGCGACGGCCAAGAGCAATCCCCAGAAGCCGCCTGCCGAGCCCCAGGAGGATGCAGGAGACCAGGCAGCATTTCCCAGCAAGGCAGAGGAGGAAGATCTGGACTCAGAAAAAGGGAAGCTGGTGGTGGGAGAGCTGGCAAGTACAGGAGATACACCAGCCCCAGTGACAAGTACAGCAGCATCGTTTGAGAGTTCTGAAGGTTTTGAATGGCCTTTGGGTATCCTTGGGACCTGCCTGCTGATTGTGATGGGGATCACCATGCTGGCGCAAGCACAGAATGAGTTTTACCCACAACCATTTTGTCTGATCTCAAAAGTTAAGCAGAGTCGGGTTTGGGTCTTGTCTTGGATTAGACGACAATATAGGAGGACCAAGAGATATTCCCTGGGGCTGGACAGTCATGAGTGGCAAGGTTTGTGGGATAGTATGGGAAGTATCCAGGCCAGTGGGCCCCTCCAGTGCTTTGGAAGCATCAGAGATGGAAGGCAGCTCTATGGAGTCCCCAGCAACAAGCTCCAGAAACTGCTGGAGGGGACAGTGAGTTATTTTGAGCCTGGTGGGCCCATGGCACTTCAGGCCAACAGAGCAGAGATGCAACATAGAGATGGACTCATGATCGAGGGGTGGACTTAGCAATGGACACTATTGCCTAGATTATTCAGGAGTGTGAACACTGCACACAGCTTCTCCTGCTCTGGAAGACTGTTACAAGAGATGGAGCCTGACATCATGGACCAGATGGACTCAGCAGCTTTATAGGGACTGGTCCATGCACTAAGATGAGAGTGCACTGAGATCAGAGTGATGGTATATTGAAAATGTGGGATCTGAGCATGACATGAATGGTATGGAATAAGGGGTGGATAATGTCCTGGGTTCAGCAGTAGCAGTCATTTTTCTCCTTCTTAGTAGCTGGTGCAGTGCTGTGTTTCGACTTTCAGCCTGGGAACAGTGCTGATAACAATGATGTTTTAGTCTGACCAAGGACTTTGTGAGCCTCATGCTCTGCCAGGGAGGAGGGGAAGCCAGGAAGAAGCAGAGACAGGACACCTGACCCAAGCTAGCCAAAGAGGTATTCCATACCATAGCACATCATGCCCAGGATGTTACTGAGAGTTGTCTGGAAGGTCTAGGACTTGTGGGGTTGGACTAGGTATCCGTCGGTGCTTGGTCTGGCTTGGGGAGGGTGAGTTATCAGTTGGCTGGTGGTGAGATGCTGTATTCTCTTCCCTTGTTATTTCCTTTTTTCATTATTATTATTATTTGTGGCAGCAGTAGTGATTTTTGTTATACTGTAGTTACTAAACTGTTCTTATCTCAACCCGTGGGAGTTGCATTCTTTTCAATTCTCCTCTGTCTCTCCGGGTGTAGGAAGAGGGCAAGAAGGGGGGGAGTGAGTGAACGTGCTCCCTGACTGGTTTTAAACCACGACATACCTTCTCATAGATGGTGGCAAGTGCCCTGTGGGGGTGGCTGCAGCAATGAAGCAGAGCAACTGGCAGTGCAGAGGTAAACCCATGTGGGCTGCTGCACTGTGGAAAGATATCGCTGCCAGGGTGCAGAACCTGGTGGTGAAGGTACACCATGTAGATTGTCATGTACGCAAGAGTTGGGCCTCTGAGGAATACCAGAGCAACCAACAAATGGATAAAGCTGCTAAGATTGAAGTGACTCAGATGGACTTAGATTGGCAGCATGGGGGTGAATTATTTTTGGCCCCGTGGCATGTGACACTTCAGGCCATCAGGGCAGAGATGCAACATATAGATGGGCTCGTGATCGAGGGGTGGACTTAACAATGGACACTATTGCCCAGGTTATTCACGAGTGTGAAACATGCTGCAATTACGCAAGCTAAATGGTAAAGCCTCTTTGGTATGGAGGACGATGGCTGAAGTAATTTATGGGGAGGCCTGGCAGATTGATCACACTGCCACCGACCCGCCAAGGCAAGCGCCATGTGCTTACCATGGTGGAGGCAACCACCAGATGACTGGAAACATATGCTGTTCCCCACACCACTGCCCGGAACACTATCCAGGCCCTTGAGAAACAGATTTTGTGTTGACAAGGCACCCCAGAGAGAACTGAGTCAGACAGTGGGACAGCTTTATAAACACTTGGGCCAAAGAGCATGGCATTGAACGGGTATATCACATCCCCTACCATGCTCCAGCCTCTGGGAAAATCATACGCTACAATGGGCTGTTAAAAACTACGCTGAGAGCAATGGGTGGTGGGAGTTACAAACATTGGGATACACGTTTACCAAAAGCCACCTGGTTGGTCAACACCAGAGGATCTGCCAACAGGGATGGCCCAGTCCAGTCAGAACTAGAAGGGGACACCATTCCTGTGGTGCACCTAAAGAATTTGCTGGGGATGACAGTCTGAGTTATTTCCTGCTTCAGGTGAAGGCAAACTCACTCGTGGGATTGCTTTTGCTCAGGAACCCAGATGTACTTGGTGGGTAATGCGGGAAGATGGGGAAGTCCAGTGTGTACCTCAAGGGGATTTGATTTTAGGGGAAAACAGCCAATGAACTCAATTGTATACTGTTGTCTGCTACGTAGCACTTTTATAGCTCACCAACTAGATATCTTCAGGTCACCAGCGAGTGTCCCTGACTTCCCTCTGACCATCATCCCAACAAAGAATGAACTTTGATTAAACCAGAGGAGTTCTGTGGTATCATCATCAGGCAATGATCCAACACTGCACACTATCTCTCCTGCTCTTAGTGACTGTTAGATGAGATGGAGCCTGACATCATGGGCTGGATGGACTCAGCAGCTTTATAGGGACTGGTCCATGCACTAAGGAATGATATCTCTGTGTGTGTGTATGTGTATATATATATATATGTATGAGATAAGAGTGATGGTATATTGAAAATGTGGGATCATAGCATGATGTGAATGGTATGGAATAAGGGGTGGATACTGTCCTGGATTCAGCAGTAGCAGTCATTTTTCTCCTTCTTAGTAGGTGGTGCAGTGCTGTGTTTTTGACTTTCAGCCTGGGAACAACGCTGATAACACCTATGTTTTTAGTTGTTGCTCCGTAATGTTTAGTCTGACCAAGTACTTTCTGAGTCTCATGCTCTGCCAGGGAGGAGGGGAAACCAGGTGGAAGCAGAGACAGGACACCTGACCCAAACTAGCCAAAGGGGTATTCCATACCATAGCACGTCATGCTTAGTATATAAACTGTGGGGCAATTACCCCGAAGGGCTGGATCGCTGCTGGGGTCAGGCTGGGTATCAGTCGGTGGGTGGTAAGCGGTTGTATTCTCTTCCCTTGTTATTTCCCTTATCATTATTATCGGTGGCAGCAGTAGTGGTTTTGTGTTATACCTTAGTTACTGGACTGTTCTTATCTCAACCTGCGGGAGTTACATTCTTTAGATTCTCCTCCCCGTCCCTCAGGGTGTGGGGGGAGGAAGAGGGGTGGTGTGCGAACGTCTGCGTGATTCTTTTTGCTGGGTGGGCTTAAACCATGACATTATTGCAGCATTTTCTTCTTCAAAAATGCTTTTCTTCCTAGAAAAATTTCCGAAGACAGAAGTCTGTACTTAAATGCTAACCTTAGTACTTTGAAATAGATTTTTGATGAAGGTTGTGACATAACATTTGTGTCAAATATGGGTTTTTGTTGGTTTTTTTAATGCATAATGACAAAATAGGTATGTACACACTCACAGAACAATATGCATTACATGAATATGACTTTTTTCAGTAGCTGGTTGTGCTTTTGGAGTTCTAGATTCTTATATTAGTAATTACAGGTATTAGTATGTTTATGTTGTGTTTGTTTATAAAGAATATAATATACTTTTTTTTAATAATAGCATATTATCCAGTCAACATCTGCTCAAACTGTGAAACGAACCCCTGCTTGCCAGACTACCCAGATTAGGATGCCAGTGGTAGTAACTCAGACCATTAGACCACAAGGTACGGGTTTAAATGTTTTAGTGAGATTGTTGCCTTTGTATGAATTTCATTGTAATTTCAAGCTAGTTGCATGGGAAAAACTTACAGTGTTGACATTGGAAAGCTTGACATTTATTTTCTACTTCATAATGTCTGTGGAATGCATGTTTTTACTATGTCGTTGCAAGGTATTTCAGACCAATACAGCAAAGTGTTTCGGAACTCACTTGCTTAGCTCCTTACTCAGCAGTTTTTCATGGAAGCTTCTGATACAAGTCAGAATCTTGACTCTTGCTGTCCTACACTCTTAAGTCTGGGCCAAAAAAGCCTAGAGGATGCCTCAGTGTGATCACCCTACTTCTAACTCTTACTGCTGAAGCAGAACATGATAGTCACTGTCTCTGCAACTACAGAGGTCAAGGTAGGAACCCTAAGGAAATTTCTTAAACCCCAACTGCAGCAAGCTGACATGCCATGATTAGCTAGGGGAGCAAGAAGTGTGGTTTGAACACAACTTCCTCATCTCTCTTTGCACAGTTGGATTGATGCCTGGCTGATACATCCTACTTTCTAAGAGGGTTCTTGAAGCATTCTTACTTTCTAATACACATTTGTTTCTTTCCACCACTAGACCTGTTAGGCTTCTTTTTTATTTTTTGTGATTATGTGTGAGTATCTTTTTGGATTTGGGCATTTAGATGCTTGAGGGTTTGTAATGGAATACAGAGCTTGTCATCTTTAGGTATTTAATCAGAAAACTAACTAGTTTAAATGCGCATAAAATCATTCCTGCCTATTTGATCTTTTGGTCCTACTGCTTGGTATTTTCTGTCCTCCTTGGGAAAAGACAGCATCAAAACCAGTTAACAGCAGTTGATGTTCTGCTGGCTCTGTTCTCTTCAGAGAATCCAAAGGTTGAATGGACATGGAGACCAAGCTGTCATTGTCTTCCTGTAGGCTGTTTTTCCAAGGTAGGGGAAGAAATGCCATAAAAGGTATGTATTTGATAGCACTGATACATCCTGAGTTTATTAACAAGGAAGGTATTCAACATCTTACGGAATGAACTTCCACTTCTGACTAATGTTTCTCAGAATGAAGGCTGATTTAATTTCTTTGTTCAGTCTCATAAGTTGTGAAAGTCAACAGCGTGCCGAGAATTTGCATGATACTGGCATGTGCTTTTTAAACACTGGTTTCACAATACAAATTTATTAATGATAACCATTGATCAGCCAATGAAATGCAACTTAACTGGCAGTTTGGCTTAAGGAAGACTGTGGTTCATAAAGGTAAATTCATGCAAAGCCCTGCTTTCAGGTGTGCTTATTCCTAATTACAAGCTTGTTTAAGCCCACCACTGTATTCTTATAATTACACAGAAATTTACAAAACATCCCATTGTAAAACTGCTCATCCTGCACCCCATGTCTGGCAAAATGTCTGCCTTTGTGCTTGCAGCTTTAAGAAATGGCACTATGGCATACTCTCAGATACCAGATTATTTTGATCTTGATGTATTGTTCAAACTTTCTATGGTAAACACCAGTATAATGATATTTTATAGTGGCCTAGGTATTCCTCTAGAAGGTAGTAAAATGCTGTAATAGGATGTGGTCTGTATAGAAAACTGAAGTAGTGTAATTTGGTGGAGTTTGGGGTGGTTTTTTGTTGGGTGTTCTGGTTGTGGTTTTTGTTTTGTTTTGTTTTTTATTTTTGGTTTTTTTTTAAGACTAGGTACATCAGAACTCAGCTAACTTCCACTGAGCGATGCATTTTCCTTCTCAAATTGGAGTGAATCTGCTAGTGTATTGTATATTAATGCATCCATGTGAACAGACTATAATGCTTTTTAAAACAGTACTATAGATAAAGTAGGCAGGATTTAAGGACTTTGATATTAATAAAATTATTTCCACACCAGGGAAAGTAACACTATAGTGATGGCATAAAAAATTCACACTCCTTTATCAAACTACTTTTCAGTATAATAATTAGGTGAATTGCATCTTATGGATGGGGGAATTAAGCCATATTCATTGCAGCTATTTAACCTGCGCAGAAATACAACTAAGCTCCTAAATTTGGGCTTATTTCTCTGGATCATGCTACTTAAAGTTTGAAACAAGGACGCAGTGGTGAAAGACTCTGTATGTCATTACCAATCACATGAAATATCTAAGCCCACAGGTGATTTGTGATTTAAACCGGAAAACTTCTATGTCATCCTAAAACTTATATTTACTTTGCCAGATCCATTTGAGTAGAATTACATATACATGGGGTGAAAGAAAGTGGGACTTTTATTTTTCCATATCCAGTGTAGACATACTCTTTTTCTGAGACCAAGAATGGAATTTATCTGTTGTGGAACTTTTTGGCACTTTTTAGCAAAATTTATCATATCATCTGTAGAAAACAAACTGTTGATACTAGTTCTAAAGGAATATAATATTAATTCTGGAGGAGTGCCACTGTTACCTTAATCTTCTAGATGTTAACTGTGGAAAGCAGAGATTTGCTAATTTTTAATATTCTGTTGATTCTTTCCTTCCAGTTCACTTAGTACTTTTCACATGCCTTTCAATTAGTTCATCTTAGTAGATAAATGAACTGTCTGGTCTGTGAACTAATGTTATCTGTGACATCTCATGGACCCTGAATATTTTGATGACAAAATATTTTTGTTCCCCAGGCTTGGAGCCTGAAAGTCCTAAATTGGGTTTTGTATTTGCTCATGTTGAGAGTCCACGCAACAGTTAATTTATCCAGATTGAAGAACTGAACAAACACTTAAATCAGTTTTGCTTTATGATCATATGTTAAAGTTGATGAAGACTTCAAAATAAAAAAAGTAATGCTGGATTCATTCAAAGCTAACATTTTTGTTTTAGCAAAGAAGTGTTTTCACAAGGATTTGTTTGGATAATTACATTCCAGGGTTTTATAATTCATGAAAGAAAAATAATGTAATTACTAAGGTTCATAAAATGTCATTTATATGCAGTTGAGTCACAGATGTGTAGGAATAACCTCATGCTTCTCAAAGTCTTAAGCACTATGTGTATGTAAGCTCAATAAAATTGAGTGAAAAGGAGATTTTTTAAGTCAAGTAAACATTAATTAATTATTTTCACATGCCAAATCACAGGTGGGATTAAAGAAAACACAAAATATAACCCAAGTAAACATGTGTTGAAGCAGTAAAGGAGAGCTTACTCCAGAAGTTTCATTTGTTAGTGCTTTTTCAGTTGTATACTGATGAAATATTTTTAATAGTAATAATGCAGGTCTGTTAATTTTTCTAATTAGCAACATAAATTTGCAATTATTTTTGTTAGGTATTGCCAAATGTCAGAGGAGGAATTAATATATATTTTTTAATTTACTGTCACAAGGAGCTGAATGGTCCACCACACTGGCTCATTTAGAAAGCCCAGTTTTACTTCTACACATAGACCTGTAAAGTCTGGATAGAGATATGAACAACTTTAAAATCATTGTTTTCAAAATAAGAAAGTAAAAGATGACCTTTATGATGGGGATTATGTCAAATTTTACAATAGTGTTTTTTCTTTTGCATACAATATAAAGCACTAAAATATTTACAATAATGTTTTCAGCTCTGAAAATACATTTTTTTCACTGCAACAAAGAACAATGACTGTATAAAAAATATAAAAGACATAGTTAATACCCTGAGTGACTGTGACTTAGTGTCTGTATCAAGACCATTTCAAATTTTGTTTCTTCATTCTGTGCAGATTATCTAGAAAAGTGGTTTACTGGCAATTGCAAACACACTTGTAGCCATTATGTGTGTTATAACCAGTTATTGCAAATAGTTTTCAGTTTTGGAATCTTCAGTATCCTGTAAATATTGAACAAAATTTTGTATTTTTAATTGTTCTTCTTCAGCAGTGTAATCTTTAAAAATAATAACTTCCTTTGTTTGCAATTTACAGTTAAATTTAGTTTCTGGACTGGAGGTTCTTTGATGTAAACTGTCTAAGACTTCTCATAATAACATTGCTTGGTGTTTTTCAGGAACACTAGGGAAGGCACCAACAATACAAGCCAGCAAAAGTCCTGGAGGCTTTGGTATTCAGGTCTGTGCAAATCAGACAAACAAGCTGAATGACCCTGGAGGTGGTTCTTTCAGGTAAAAAAAAAAAGAAAAAAAAAGAAGAAAAAAACATGCAGGGGGGTGCTTGGGGGGTGGGTGGGTGGGTATTTTAAATACAAAATAGAATTTAGAATTGTCTTAACACCAGAGCGCAATGTTTGACAATAATTCCTACCTTATCTTATGGTGATTGGGTGACAATTTTCTTTCTTAGTTCTATTTTAAAAATAGGGAGGAGTGGGTCATGACATGTCTGGAGGATTTTTCCCTAAATATACTTTTAAATGTTTAGTAAAGCCTTCAATTCTGTGGGTTATAATAAAACTTCTGGTAAATGGAATCATGTGTATGAAGTTTTTAAAAATACATGGTTGGTTTCATGTTATCAGATTCTAACATTCATGTGGATCGTATCTTGCTGAGAAGGTACTGAGTGTGATGAGAAGGCATCCTGTCGATAGGCTTCTTCAGCTAAGCTGCAGCATCAGCATAGAGAAAATGCTGTATGGTTTTGGTAATGGGTTTTGGGGTTGGTTTTTTGTGTGTGTTTGTCTGTATATAGGATTGTTCTTGGTTTTAAAGAGAAGACATCTCTGTATATATTTTTCGCATGCTTATCCTTTAGTAGCAGAGATTGGAGCATTCTGTGGGTCCCTGTACTAACTAGCTGATGCAAAGGTTCAACACAGTAGCATTGATGCTACACCAGTTCTTTTGTACTTCAAACATTTTTTTTAATATGTATTTTGGTATTTTTAATTTTTGTAGTGAAAAACGAATCTTGTTTACTGCATTTTGCTTACACTACCATAATTTTAATTTTTTTTCCATTGATGAAAGTACATTTTATTTGTGTTTAAAAGTTTTTGCCTTTGTTAAATGACAAAATATTCCTAGATTTTCATATTCCGGATGTCTTATATTGCTCCGAAATCATCAAACTAGTAATTAAGTTTCAGGCTTATGCTTTTGCAGGTAAAGTAGAAGAGAATTTGGAGCTCTTTGGAATATCTCTGCTTTGAGACATGTCAGTATTGCAACTAATAGTGGTAGTACTTAGTATTAATCTAGACGCAAAATCATTATTTTTTTTTATTTTCCAATGCTTTTGCCTTCCAGTGAGTATTTAAATGATTTAAAATGTCTGTTGGGTTCAGTTGTACTGTCTTAATAAGTATTTTTTATGTTTGTAAGCAACATGAACATTTATTCTTTGTTAGTATAGCTTTCAAATTTACATACACCAAAAGGGACAGCATTTTTTTAACTGGATGTTGTAAACTGTGCCAGGACTGATTCTTGCATTCACTTAATTTATACATAGAATATATTAGGTTAGCTGGAATTGCTAATTTTCCCTTGGGGAGAAGCAAATGCTTAAGGCACTGATTCATAAATCAATAAATCTTTAGTGAGTTGGGTAAATAAGCTGTCAAGGGTGTATGTCATTTTTCCTCTAGAGAACAAATTTTAGTCAGAATGAATGTTCTTGTTTCCTTTCATCATTTTCTCCTTCAAAATAGTAAGACACAAAGCTGAATTTAAATAAGTCCATAAAATTACAAGGATTTATTAAAAAACAGCAAAGATAAAGCTTTTCCTTGTTTTCCTAACAAAGAATTCAGTTGTTTGCGTATTTACATTTCAACCCCTAACCTCTCCCGAGGACAAATAGATGTCTGAGGGCACAGAGCTGGAAATCTGTATTAATCCTCTGAATGCTGACTAATTTTCCTCAACATTCCCAGTGTGTGTGAAGAATGTGTTTTTTAGCCAGAAGGCAAACTGGCATCTGAGGCAAAGCAAGATTTTTGAAAAATAGTTACGTATAAATTTTTTTGCCCCTAGTGTTTTATTATTTGTTTCATTATTTTATATTCTGCTTTTTTAAAAATAGCTTACTTGTGCTTTTCATTTTTGTGAGTAAAATGTTGGTCACTAGAAATGGAAATGTAAACTTGATTTCCAGTTTCCTCTGTTCTGGACTGTGGAAAATAGAAGAAATAATTAAATAAAAGATGTAGCAATGAGGAATTTTGCAAATTACAGCTTAGTCTTTAATGTCAGCATTTATTAATGAACTCTTATATGGATATTATAGTAGCTATTCTATAATTCAAAGTTTTCAACTCGGAACTTCTGTAAGAAAGTTGTATTGATGAAATTTTGTTACCTTTTCAGTATTAAACTTTATTGCTGCTAATTTTTTCAGAGAGCTACAGACAACTCCATCTAGTTGACTTTTCAACTGTGTTAATACCTAAGGATAGAAATTTGAATTCTGTTTTTTATAATTGTTTGTTTTACAGTAGACATCCAGACTTGCACTTTCACCATAATAGTCAGCTAGAGATTTCTGTAGTCAAGAGAGATGAACATACTAACATAATCTACCATTGATGACAGTGAAAGTATCAAACTGTCAAAGTACTTATTAGCCATAGTTCAGACTGTGGCAAATATAAAGAACTAGTGGAAACATTTGTTCCCCTTGATACTGAGTCAAAATAATTTCATCTGGAAGGGACCTTGGGAGGTCAACAAGATGAACTTCTGACTCAGAGCAGGTTTGGTTAGATCAGGGACTGGTCCAATCTACATATCTCCAAGGATGGAGATACATGTTTGCACTCCTGTATTATCCTACTACTTCCTAACTGTATTGAGTAAGGCTCAGTGGCATTGCATGTACAAGGCAAGAAGTGGACAGAACAATTCTTAATGTGTTATGGACAACTGTGCAAATACTTTGATTTTTCTTTCTTATTTTCAGATAAGATTATTTTTTGTAATTGCACAAATCTTTTTAATGAAGAAGAGAGGGGAGGTGTTACAAGAGGTTGAATGTAGGAGAGAGCTAAACTCTTAGACTATTTTAAGATGTAGCTTGCATTTCGAAAGAATTTGAGAAACCATGCTATCTTCTTAAAAATAGCATGTATGTTGGAATGTTAGATTTATCCCATAAGACTTGGAATTTAATCCAGTAAAAAACAGAAATAATTACTGAAACAATATAATTAATATGAGAACAGTAATATACACCAAGAAATATGAAATAGTTAAATACTGTTCTGGGATGAAAAAGGAAAGATAGACAGTGATTATCAATCTAGATGACCACTGGATGGCCTCTTTGTTCCACAGAATGAATTCTGAAAACTCACTCTGGACTTAAAAGTTGACTTTCCTAGGAAATAATAGTTTTGTGAGAATGCCAGCCCTCTTAATATGTAAATGTGTGTGTTTCAGTATCCAAATCCAAGCTTTAATTCATGAAGTTCCTCAAGGTCAAAAAAACCTATTTTGATAGTTTTCCCCTTTAGACTGAAAAAAATTGTAGTCCCAACTATGATTAAGATATCTTATATCTATCTTCCATGTAACATTTAAAACAAAAACAGAAGAAGATGTACTCACATTAGATTGTTAATGTAAGATGGAAGAAAATTATTCTCTCCAGAAATTAGTGATGATCATTATAGGTGCAGTTGCATTGATTTTGGTAATTTCATTGGAATCCTGGTTTGTGCCCAAATCAATTGTGTGGTCTTATTTAAAACAATATTTGTTTATTTATAATGTGGTCTCAGATCTGTACTCTGAATTAAAATTGTAATAGCTAAAATGCTAAGCAAAAGGAAGGTACAAGATAGATCGTACTTCTCAGCTATTAAGTAAAAGTAGAGATCAGTATAAACTTCTCTTAAAAATTGTTTTCTTGAAGTCAAGAATGCTATCTTGGTTTTTGTATGGATCTTTGCTTGAAGAAGATGAAGTTCTGGGCTCAAATCTGGTTTCCAGTAGCTTTTACTATCTTACATAGTTTTGAGTTTGTGTTATGAGAACTTCCTTTTAACTGAATTTGATTTTGCCATTGTTTAAAAGACCTGATGGATTTAGGCCTTGTGAGTCCTGGGTAGATTACCTTGGGTGATGTTCATTCTGTTTCAAGTGCTGAGGTTTTTAAGCCCCCAAAATCTTAGTTTCCCCCATTTTTTCAGCTTTAGTTCCTGTTTTTCAAATTTTAGTTAGAATCTTTTGAATTTGTCACTGAAATATTTAAGTCATTGTTAACTGTTATATGGCCAAGTACATTTATCAGCTGTGATATTTGGGGGCAGTATCACAGCTGGTTGGACAAGGCCAAAGACTACTTTGGTCATCCATGCACTGAATGCATAGGAGGCCAGTTTCTTCATGGCAGGTCTTGTGGCCCTCCTATGAGTATCACATACATACCATGTGAAATGTGAAAATTAAAATCCTTTAGACTCAGCATGAAAACTATCAAGGTGGGAGATCAGTTTTGTGACATTGTCCTCAGGAATTTCATTCTTAGAGATCAAGTGCTTAGCACTCATGGGAAATAATAAAAGCTCATTTGTGTAGCATTTTTCTGATGATCATTGTAAAATTTTACATTTTCTGCCTCAAGTGTTCAGCACATTTATCTAGGTTTATACCAGCAAAAATCCCTTCTTGAAAAAAAGCAGTATCTAACAAACCATAGAAGTCTTCCACCAAAATTGGCTGTTGTAGTGCAGATATCAAGGAGAGTATAGGAGGATAGGGAGGACTTAGATAATGAATTTCTAGATTTATCTCCTTTTGTCCTCAGACCTTACTTGTAGCTTTTGTTTTTTACTGTAGGCATTAAACTTGTTACAAGTGACAAAAAGTATTTTAGGATGACATCTATGTAATTTTTTTTTTCTTAAATCTTTCAAATTAAGCTTTTATTTGCTTGCTTCATGCAGTAGTTGGAGTCTGGACTTGGATGTACGTGAATCTTTTCCATATATATATCTCAAAAGTTGTGTAATGACTCCTAGAATATGCTGAAATACAGTGTTCTTGTCAGTAACAGCTCCTAAACAGAATGTACCAAAAACAGATAGTTTTTTCCACAGTTATGACTCATACCTCATAGATGTAAAAGATGCTTGGGAGATACAGGTGTGGTAACTCAGATTTGTTAGTCAGTACTTCCTCAAGCTGTTAGGAATGGTATTGAAGAGCAAATAAGTGAAGTGCTGCTATCATCTTATCATAGAATAGTTAGGGTTGGAAAGGACCTTAAGATCTTCTCAAATGCAGCTCATTTTTCTAAAACTACTTGACATATTCAGCTGATTTTTGTATGTTGCCATAGAAAAATACCCGTGCATATTCAAACCACACTTGGAACCTAAACTTACCTATGACTTACATGGTCAAAGAATCTTTCCTGACAATTGCTGAAAATACTTTGGTGCCCATTTTGATAGGAACTTGTGAAACAGTGCAGGATTCCAAATTCATGTTTTTGCTTTTAATGTCTATGGTCTTTTTATTTATTTTATAATTTTACTCCTAGTTTTCAGCATAAAGAGAATAGCCAAATGCTCTCTGTCTTTAGTGGTGATCATTGCCTGACCATCCCGGTTTCATTAATATCATTGACTCTCAGATGAAGAAAGGACACCTCTGTCACACCTTCTGGTACAGACAAATTGTCCTGCTTCTAAAGTTTTCCTAATGTGTTCAAAGAAATATTTAGTTATTTCTGAATTTAGAATATATTCTATGAAAATTGTGAACTTGGTGGTTGTGCCTCAAGTTGGCCCAGCCACCGGGTATGTTGCAATGACGATGACTTCTTGAGAAGCAGATAATATACAAAATGAATATACCACATGCAGAATTATTGTTTTGCTTTTGTTATTATAGAGATGATGATGATGTCAATGATGTTGTCTCTGTGGCTGGTGTTAATGAAGAAAGTGCCTGCATTATGGCTACCAACTCTGACTTGGTTGGAACCCAGATACAGTCCTGTAAAGATGAACCCTTTCTTGCTGCTGTACCTCTACATAAACGCATACTTGAAATGGGTGAGAACCATGTCCTTTCCTTTTGATAGTGTTTCCTTTGGAGTAACAGATTATGCTTAGCACTTAAGATTGTTTTTTAAGCATTTTATTACATGATCTTGTATTACTAAATTTTCAAGGTTTTTGTGATAAAAGTCACTTAGTCTGGTTACGTCCCTCACATCTTCTGTATTCCCACAGTTTAGTTATATCAAGTTGCAAAAAAATAGTATACTGGTGCTTTTAAACTTCATGCTTTCCCTGTGTTTTTTGTGTCCAAGGATCTCAAAGCTCTTTGCAAACATTATTTCTCACAATCCTACTTCATGTTTTACACATGAGAAGATTGAAAGAGAGAGGTAAAGTAAGTAGTATAGGTCACAGAGTGACCTGTGAATAGCATTTAACAGAATGTTGAATTTATCTGTCAAGATTTGCTTTTCCCATGCAAACCAGTTACTCAGTTCCTAACACCTGCATCTATTTAAGTTCATAGTGATTTTCTCATAGCATTTTTTCCAAAATGGTGTATTTATTTGTCCTGGTGATAAAGTATATTTATTTATTCTGCCATTTGAAAACAGAAGTTTAAAACTTTAGCGGAAAAATAACTCATCAGTATTAGTGATGTTTTAGGGTTTGTAAGTATCCTCAGAATGTATTTTATGACATTCTTAATATTCTATATATGTTCTAGTACCTAAATGTATCTTTTTCAACATAATTTTGGTAATATTTTCAGAACTATCAGTGTCTTAAGATATTAAACTCAAATTATTTAGGGGTGTGAATCATGTTCTTTTAGAACTATACTTATATCACTAGTGAAATCTGTCAAATTTTTAGGGATCTAGTTCTGTAATTTTAGAGATTGAACAAAAATCCTGTTACAAATTGGTACAGTTGGGTTTTTAAGTCATGTGGTTACTTCTGAAATGTTATTTGTGTTCATTGAACTAATGGAAGCCTTTTTTATATTGCAGTTGCAGGTAAAGTTCTTCATTGACTTATTGTCAAGCTTCACTCTTGTATTTTAACTAGTGCCCTTTTAAGCTCTCAGTCAGAGAAATGAATTATTTTGCATGCTGTAGTTCTCACATTGTGATGATGGCATTATGTGATGCTGTCTAGGAAAGCATATGTGCAGCATTTTGTGAGATGGTTCACCACCACCTGAGATAGGAAGCCAGCAAGGTTTCAGTTAAATCTGAGTAACTGTTGTGGGGAATGTTCACACAATAGATAATGCAAGTGTAAGGAAACATAAAAGGAAGCACACATGAAACTGTTAAAAAGAACAGGAAATCAGTAAAAAAATTGCCATATAAGCCTTAATGAACAACCTGGGTGTAACAATTGCTGTACAACATGAAGTTCTAATTACAAGTGCAGGATTTACAGGAACCTTTAAGAGCCACAGAACCCATCATAGAATCATAGAATAGTTAGGGTTGGAAAGGACCTTAAGATCACAGTATCACAGTATGCTAGAGATCGGAAGGGACCTCGAAAGATCATCTAGTACAATCCCCCTGCCGGAGCAGGAACACCTACATAATGTTACACAGGAAAGTGCCCAGGCGGGTTTTGAATGTCTCCAGGGAAGGAGACTCCACAACCTCCCTGGGCAGCCTGTTCCAGTATTCCATCACCCTCACTGAGAAGAAGTTTCAAGTTTAAGTGGAACCTCTTGTGTTCCAGTTTGTACCCATTATCCCTTGTCCTATCATTGTTTGCCACTGAGTAGAGCCTGGCTCCATCCTCGTGACACTCCCCCTTTATATATTTATAGACACTTATAAGGTCACCCCTCAGTCTCCTCTTCTCCAAACTATAGAGACCCAGCTCCCTCAGTCTTTCCTCATAAGGGAGATGCTCCACTCCCTTAATCATCTTCGTTGCCCTTCGCTGGACTCTCTCCAGCAGCTCCCTGTCCTTCTTGAACTGAGGGGCCCAGAACTGGACACAATATTCCAGATGCAGTCTCACCAGGGCAGAGTAGAGGGGAAGGTGGACCTCTCTCGACCTACTAACCACCACCCTTCTAATACACCCCAGGATGCCATTGGCCTTCTTGGCCACAAGGGCACAGTGTTAGCTCATGGTCATCCTGTCGTCCACTAGGACCCCCAGGTCCCTCTCCCCTACACTGCTCTCTAACAGGTCGTTCCCCAACCTATACTGGAACCTGGGGTTGTTCCTGCCCAGATGCAGGACTCTACAATTTCCCTTGTTATATTTCATCAAGTTATTCCCTGCCCAACTCTCCAGCCTGTCCAGGTCTCGCTGGATAGCAGCACAGCCTTCTGGCGTGTCAGCCACTCCTCCCAGCTTAGTGTCATCAGCAAACTTGCTGATAGTACACTCAATTCCCTCATCTAAATCGTTGATGAATATATTAAATAATACCGGTCCCAGTACTGACCCTTGAGGCACTCCACTAGTTACAGGCCTCCAACTAGACTCTGCCCCATAGACTACAACTCTCTGGCTTCTCTCCTTCAGCCAGTTCACAGTACACCTCACTACCCGATCATCCAGACCACACTTCCTCAATTTATCTGTGAGGATGCTGTGGGAGACTGTGTCAAATGCTTTGCTGAAGTTAAGGTAGACCACATCCACCACTCTGCCATCATCCATCCACCGTGTTATTTCCTCATAAAAGGCTAAGAGATTGGTCAAACATGATTTCCCCTTGGTGAAGCCATGTTGACTGCCCCTCATAACCCTCTTATCCTTGATATGCCTTAAGATGGCACCAAGGATAAGGTGTTCCATCACTTTCCCAGGGATGGAGGTGAGGCTGACCGGTCTATAGTTACCTGGGTCCTCCTTCTTCTTGCCCTTTTTGAAGACTGGAGTGACATTTGCTTTCCTCCAGTCCTCAGGCACCTCTCCCGTTTCCCAAGACTTGGTAAAGATGATGGAGAGCGGTCTAGCAATGACTTCCGCCAGTTCCCTCAGCACCCGCGGGTGCATCCCATCTGGACCCATGGATTTATGGATGTCCAGATTGCTCAACTGGTCTCTAACCCATTCCTCATCGACTAAGGCAAACCGCTCCGTTGACCTGACTTCATCTAAGGTCTTAGGGGTACAGGGCTCTTCAGGACTGCCTGCAGCAGAGCAGACAGAGACAAAGAAGGCTTCAGTAACTCTGCCATCTCTGTATCTTCTGTCACCAGGGCACCCATCCCGTTCATCAGTGGGCCTACATTGCCTCTGGTGTTAGTTTTATCTGCCATGTATTTGAAAAAGTTCTTTTTGCTGTCCTTGACCCTTCTCGCCAGGTTTAATTCTAAGGAGGCCTTAGTCATCCTAGCTGCCTTCCTACATCCTCTAGCAGCAGCCTTATATTCCTCCCAAGTGGCCAGCCCCTCCTTCCATGACCTCTAAACTCTCCTCTTCCACTTGAGCATACCCAGCAGTTCCCTATTTAGCCACGCAGGTCTCCTGGCCCTCTTCCTTGACTGTGTCGGGATGCTCCGATCTTGAGCTCGGAAAAAGCAATCCTTGAATGCCAACCAACTATCTTGGGCCCCTTTACCTTCAAACAGCCTTGCCCATGGGATTTCCCCTAGCAATTGCTTGAAAAGGCCAAAGTTTGCCCTGCTAAAGTCCAGGGTTGCAATTCTACTTGCTATTCTACTAGTCCTACCACACCTGAACTCCACCATCTCGTGGTTGCTGCAACCAAGGCAGCCCTCAACCCTTACTGCTTCGACCAGACCCTCCTTGTTAGTGAGGATGAGATCCAGCAGCACTCCTCTCCTGGTCGGCTCATCCACCATTTGCAGGAGGAAGTTATCATCCATACACTGGAGGAACCTCCTGGACTGTGGCTGGGTTGCTGAGTGGTCCTTCCACCAAACATCAGGGAAGTTAAAATCCCCCACGACGACCACGGCCTGTGACTGTGAGGCCGCTCTCAGCTGCCTGTAGAAGGCCTTGTCAACTTCCTCACCCTGATCTGGTGGTCTGTAACAGACACCCACAACAGTATCCCCCCTGCCAGCCTGCCCCTTAATTCTCACCCACAGACTCTCAACTCGCTCGTCATCTGTCCCTGGACAGAACTCGGTGCATTGTAGTTGCTCCCGTACATAAAGAGCAACCCCACCACCCCTCCTGGCTGGCCTGTCTTTCCTGAAAAGGACATAGCCCTCCATGACTATATTCCAGTCATGTGAGCTCTCCCACCACGTCTCTGTAATTGCCACTAGAACCTCTCAGAGGCTCTTTCAAGGCAAGCGGCAGGGGAGTGGTCACCGTCACCGTGGGAACGCCCCCCGCCACGTCAGCCGCTCTCTCGCAAGGGCTTCTGGGATCGGGAGATGTCGGGAATCGTGATGTCTCTGCACTATCCCCTCTGATTTTCCTAATTTCCCTTGATCCTCGCGGTCGCTGAAGCGTGCCGGCTGTGGCTCTAGCTAGGCTAGCTCTGATCAGCTGACTGAATGCTAGTAGCGAGTTTAAGCCGCTTTTAAATTGAGATTGACCCCTTGGCTTTTGGAGTCAAGGATACAAAGGATCTGATGCCAGCTATACCCCAACTGAGAAAGAGATACTGGCAGCCTATGAGGGGGTTCAAGCTGCTTCTGAAGTGATTGGTGCTGAAGCACAGCTCCTCCTGGTAGGCCGGTTGCCCATGCTGGGCTGGATGCTCAAAGGCAGGGTTTCCTCTACACATCATGCAACCGATGCTACATGGAGAAAGTGGGCTGCACTAATTACACAATGAGCTCAAATAGGAAATCCCAGTCGTCCAGGAATTCTAGTAGTCATCATGGACTGGCCAGAGGGCAAAGATTTTGGAACGTCACCAGAGGAGGAGTTAATGCGGGCTAAAGAGGCCTTACCATATAATAAGCTGTCAGAAAGTGAAAAGCAGTATGCCTTGTTTACTGATGGGTCCTGCCATATTGTGGGAAAGCGTTGGAGATGGAAGACAGCTGTATGGAGTCCTGCTGAAGGAGAGAGTCACTCATCACAGTGCTGATTTATTGGCTCTCAAAGTT